TGAAAACTTTTATATAAAGAGAAAAATACGCATTTTACTATGTTTAATTAGTAAATTTTGACGTCGTTGCATTATTTTTGATTGTCACTGTATATATATATTATATATTTTATATAAATAAATTTTACCAAAAAAAATTTACAAGAGGCTGATTTTGAAACTTTAGAAAAACAAATTGTAATTAAAAATCATATAATTTGCTCTTTTTTTCAGTTTCACTTTGTAAATATAACATATATAAAATAATTACTTCAAGAATATTATTAAAGAAATGAATAATAAAGATAATTATATTGTATTTTGTTCACTAAGTATATATAAAAAAATAATATAAGTTAAATTAAATAATTATATTAATATTAAATTAATAATATTTTATTATTATTATATATATAATTTAAAAATTATGACTTGTTATTAAATTTAAAATTGTTTATGTAAATTATCTGTTTTGTATATGTTGTATCTTAGATATCGTTTTGTCTCAAGTGTTAATTCACGTGATCACTCAGGCCAACATTAATCTATTTCACCAACACTAACTCTAATCCTAACCACAACTCTAGTAAAACTCCTATTATAATTTGAACTGATCGATACCTGAGGCAAATCGTCACCTGAGACATAACATATATATGCATGAACATATGGAAAATGTTAATTATAATTAAAATTACCATTTTGGTATTAGATCTACAAGAAAAATAAAAAAAGTATGTATTTGTAGATCTGTTGGCACTCAAGACACTAGGTCTATAAAGATCAGTATGATACCAATATGATGATAACACATACTACTGGTAGGATTATAGCATAACGATAAGCTGTATACTGTCTTAATTTTTATATTGTACTATACTACATAAATCTTTTAAAATAACCTATGTTCCGAACTCAACCCTAATCCTTTTCATGAAATGGCACAGTACATGAAGTTTTCTTTACTATCCATATCATTATACAGTATTATCGTATCGGTATACATTTTATACACGTGATGCATATCATACTGATATTCGGGACACTGCTGCGAAGATTTGCATAGTTGTGATACAAGTTGTGTGGTTTTCATCATTTCTTTCTCAGAGAAAATAATACTCTTTGTAGTCGTTTTTTCAAATTATTCAATTTAATATGCATTTAAGAAATAGATCAGAGAATTATGGATATGTAATTTTCACGATTATTTTGCACAAGGATTATATAGTATTACAATTTTATCTCAAAGATTATAATTTATGAGATTATCGGAAATCACGACTTTTTCTTCCATCGTGACGAATCACTTTCATATTTATCCCAAGTGATTCGCCTTGTTTGATCCATCATCCTACTTCATTTCCCTTTTTCCTTTTTCTCCACCGATCAGATGCACATTAGCTTTGCCTGATGTATCAGGATATTATTTTATGCTCAATAATGGTGATATCTATGCATCGTACGATAAGATTCGATGGATTTTGTTCGAGTGCAACTAATTCATTCGATTAAATAATTCGATGTGTTTTTCCCAAGTCAAGTGACATATTGGGTCGAAGAAAACTTAATATAGGAAGATGACCTGGCTTTTCCATTACGGATTGTTTAAAAATATCAACGATGACGTAATCTTTATTGTACACTTTCCCTCGGATAAATACGTATGAATGTAGCTTTTCTTTACATAACTGGTTCATCAGTGTATATGCTACTTATAAATGATCAAAATTTTCTTCCACTATTGATGGTATTCAAGATCAGTATAATAAAAAGAAACGCTAATTTCTATAAGTAGAACAAAAATGATGCGAGCACATTCCTGTCAATTAGACATAATTTTATTTCTATCGCTATTAGAAGCTAGATAATTAATACATGTATTCTTTATTGAAAATTGTTGTGTAATTGATTCTGATCGATCACATGATTAGACTACTATTTGTAAAATAAATAGGCTCAAGTCTGGATCCCTGGGAATTTCTAACTGTGTTGTTACTTACCCACCGACTATCTATATAAAGAATCATTAAACGCGCAAGATTCCTCATTTTAGCCGCGTTATTTCTTCGTCTTACCATTACAGAAAAATAAAAAAAGTAAAACGTCTTTTTTTCTCAGTATAATAAAATCATATATATCTCCTGCTTTTTTTCCTATTACCACTCAACTCAATTTCGCTGTATATATTTTGTTGTCACTAGTACAAAATTTATAAACAATGACTGGCCGTGGTAAAGGAGGTAAGGGACTTGGAAAAGGGGGTGCTAAGCGTCATAGAAAGATTTTGCGTGATAACATTCAGGTTTGATTTGTTCTTTTACTTTTTGATTTTGAAAAACCTTGATTTTCTTATTGGAACAGAGACACACAGTTTTCTGTCTTCTCAATAATATACATGATGTGTTTCGTATTTATTTACTCATTTACCCATCAAAAATATAACAGGGTATCACTAAACCTGCCATTCGTCGTCTTGCTCGTCGTGGTGGCGTTAAACGTATCTCTGGTCTTATCTACGAAGAAACTCGTGGAGTCTTAAAAGTATTTCTGGAAAGTGTGATTCGTGACGCAGTTACCTATACTGAACATGCTAAGCGTAAGACGGTCACATCGCTAGATGTTGGTAAGTTATCAATTTTTGATCAATAGATCTCTATCGAGGAAGAATTTCTTTATTGATGAATTCTAATTCTCTTTTAATCTTTAAATATAGTATACGCTCTCAAACGTCAAGGCCGCACCATCTATGGTTTTGGCGGATAATGTGTTACACTATAGCAATTTTCCTTGTTTTGTTTCTTCTTTATCTATCTATATTTTCTTTCTTGTGTGATTATTTGGTGAAATCAAATATCTAATGTGTGTTGGGGGGAAGTTAACTATTACTTCTATTTCATTATTAGTTATTTCTTATATACAGGCACACATTCTCTCTATATCTCATAAATATATAAAAACGTTTTTTCTTTGATATTTGCGAATATATAACATACTTACATAATGAATTAATGAAATTGTTTGGGTCTTCCTCTGGTTAACAGTAATAAATATTGATTCATTCACTTGGGCTGAAATTTTATTACTTATAAAGCAAACAATTTTTATTTGGTGATTATTGTAGGCATATCGAACAATAAAAAGTACTTTGAACAATCTATCTTCCATGTATAGTCGTACCTTCATATAATCACACTCGGGACAGAAAGTGTGTGACTCTAAAGAGGTTGTGACTGTATGGAGGTCAAATTTCTAATAGTCGGAACTGGGAAAAGGTGTGATTATAGAGAGGGTGTACTGTTATTTTTATTATTACTATTATCATATAATTATTATACACCAAATTCGGGAAAAGAAATCCTTTATATTTTGTACCTCTATACGATCACACCTCCAACTATTATTAAGCATAGGAAATTTGACCTCCATACAGTCACAACCTCTTTAGAGTCACACTCTTTCTGTCCTGAGTGTGATTATATGGAGGTACAACTGTATGTGTAACTTGTCAAACACAAAATTGTATATTTTTGATTTAGTTTCTCAAGACAACTCGTCCACACCAGTTATTCTCTTGGTTAAAGTGTCTCACCATACTCACCATACTTGGGTTTTCTTGTAGATAATAATTATAACATGGCTACTAGTCCTTCAGAATTCAGTAACCCTCTGAGGAAATTCAAATTGGTGTTCTTGGGTGAACAAAGTGGTTAGTTTCGTTTTTTTTGCATAGAATTTGGTAGATGATAAATTGAACTTTTGATGTAGACCCTGTTAAGTTCAGCAAAACTGCCAATCTCTAGTTTCTTTCTTTTTGCTTGTGTACGAACGTATAACGTGTTCATTTAATCAATATACCTGTTTCTTTCAAAACTCTCATTATTCACATATTTTGATGTATTAACAAGTCGGCAAAACCTCTCTAATAACGCGTTTCATGTATGACACCTTCGACAACACCTATCAGGTAATTATTGCTTGATACCAAACTTCTGGTTTATTCGCTTAACCCATCCACCCAGATACACCTACCCGCGAAACCCTATACATTCCCCGTTCTCTGTCTCGCATTATTCAATCATTATATACTCTCAGTTAACGCGCGGGAGAATTACTCTCTTATTGTTGAATTGAAGGCTACAATTGGTATCGATTTTCTGTCGAAAACTATGTATCTAGAGGACCGTACAGTTCGATTGCAACTCTGGGATACAGCTGGCCAGGTAATTTAATTTTTTGATTGTAATGACAACGCAAATCTCCAAAGTTTTGATTTAATATGTACGCGTAAATAATTTATTTGAAAACTAGGAACGATTCAGAAGTTTAATTCCTAGTTATATTAGGGACTCTTCTGTTGCCGTGGTAGTTTACGATATCACAAGTATGAAACTGTTTAATTTTTACTGGTATCTTTATATTTATTAATTATTAATAACTTCTTCACTTATAAGATCGGAATTCTTTCATGAATACCGCTAAATGGATAGATGATGTCCGCGCAGAGCGTGGTAATGATGTAATTATTGTATTAGTAGGGAATAAGACAGATTTAAATGATAAGAGGTAAGCATCCAATAGTTGTCTTGAATAAAAAATACTGTTTGAATTTTTTTGATTGAATTTCTATTTTAGACAAGTGACGACAGAAGAAGGAGAGAAGAAAGCAAAAGAGTATAATGTGATGTTTATTGAGACTAGTGCAAAAGCTGGGCATAATGTGAAAACATTGTTCCGTAAGATCGCACAAGCTCTTCCCGGAATGGAGAATACAATGAATGAACAACAGAATCAATGTAAGCGGCTTTTTTGCTGCTACTTTATTTTTAACAAAACAAAAATAAATTAATTTTTGGTTTTCTCGCTCTATATTGGTATTCTCTTTCACTCCCTAGTGATTGATGTCAATATCAATTCAGGAACCCAAAATTCCAGCGATGCAACTGTTTGTGCTTGTTGATATTATAATGATTAAAAAGTATTTTTTATTTATCCATGTCTCATTTTTATCTTATTTATCGCTTATTAATTTTTATGTTTTTGTCAACTTCAAGGAATGCAACAGCTCTGTGTGTACTGCTATTATTCTACTTTATCATTCTCTTATTTATTAATTTTAGCTATGTAACAATAGTAATCTTTTTATTTTCGATAGAATATAATATGCATTTAATAATTGGATAGAATCTAGCACTATTAATAAGGGTAAAAAATAATTATTATTTACTCTTTTAATGAGGATTTTCAAATTTCTTTATAATTTAATCATTAACGTGTGATCAACAATAAAATTTTCAATTCATAATTTGCCATACATACATGTAATAAATAATATAAAAATAGCCTAGTGGAAGATTCTACAAATCGTCATCAGCCTCTTCATTTTCTTTGTTTCTTGATTGCCAGAATTCGAGCCGAACCTAATAATAAAAAATGAAATTCATATAAATATACGTTTTAAGCTAATTATCATCAAACTAAAAATAATTGAAAATACCTCAGTATTATTGATCCTGCACGTTATTTTTATACATTGCTTTAAATGTATCCTCGTTTCCATGGTTTACTTCAAAGTCATGCCAAATCGCCCAGAACGAAGTTACCGTCTAAAATAAAAGCATCATGCATAGCGAGAGAAAGACAAATTTATAAGCATATAAAGATCTCGCACGATCAATTTCAGCTAACTTTCGTTCCAACTCTGCATATTTCAAAGACATGTCTTTAGCCTCTTTATCGGGAAGCACCTAGATTGCACGTTCAACGCGTGTAAGTTACACCGAATTCGCCCTCGCTTTAGCAACATAGAAATTGAACATCTAACAAATAAATTAATTTTGAATATAGACGTATTGTTAGTAACAAACAATGAATAATAAGAATGCAAATATTACTCACCTCAAACCGATCAACTACGGCTTTTGTAGCATGCGATCGAAAATTCGCATGCTAGCCCGAAATCTTCTTCAAGTTAAGGTGCAGTGGTTTCGCATGTTTGAGAGGACACTTTTCAAGAGCTTGTTCGAAAAGATCTCTAATTTTGTACCTCCCTAAATTAGTAAATTTCATACGAAATTAATAGGATAAATTTTAAAAATTAAAAATACATTGCACTCACATCAATTTATAAATTTGGTCAAATATATTCCAAATTCAAATGCAATTGGATAATTGAATAGCTCGACACCACGTTCACGTTCATATACCTAAGCACAAGATAAATTCCGAAATAAGATGTAAAAGAGGGAGAAATCGATGGAAAAACCATATAACCCACTTTGAAGCTTTCTTCGAAATATTTGTTCGCTTCTAAAAATTTGGCATAATTAATGATAATTTGCGGGGTAGCGATTTTCAGTTCTAGTATCCGCTCATATACAGCATTTGTTGACTAAGAACGCGGCCAAATTATTACACTCTTGAAATCGACTTTTGTCCCCTTCTCAAATATCGTTCGAGCAGATTTTAAATTATTTCCATCCTCATAAAATTTTGCAAAATGCGCCCACACTTCATAAAAATTGCCACTTGCTTTTTAGGATTGATTGTGAGAATCGCTTTGTATATGTTTCAATAACTTTTTTTTTTGCCAAGAAATTAGAAAAAAAGTAAACTTAGAATAAATTTTACTTTTCCGGTATAATTCGACACTCTTTTTCCCATTCATGAACATTATCGGATTTGGCCGCAATAATACATCGTTCACCAAAAAAGGACGACGATTCATTAATTGTTCAAATCATACGAGACGTAATTCTAAATCTGAATCTTCTTCTGGGTCTTCCTTTCCGTTCTGCTCGTTCGGCGGCTTCCTCCATGAGTGATAACAGTTTCTTCGAATTCCGCATATGCGTAAAATATTTGAGTGAAATCACGAACTTTTATTACTGTGGCGATGTCTTCTTCGAAAACATCTCTTGCCTGTAAGAATCACATATTATAGAAAAATACTTAATTTCGTATTTGTTTATATACATTCAAACCTCGTTATAACAGATTTTTAAAATTTTTGCTCCACATATAAATCCGTTATAACGTGACCACTTCGCTATAACGAGGGTCGACTGTAAGAAATATTGTAAATGACCTTTCAAGATTTATCCAATAACTAGCCAAAGAATCCCGCAATTTGCCAACTTGATTGGTGAACCTCCGGATCCCACTTCTTATAATTGATTCAACTTTCAAGCATTAATCTCTTCAAGATTCTTACACACCAAATCACATAATTATATCCACAATTAGTAATTGGATTTTCCATGCATTAATTTGAATCGATCGTTATTTACCACTTGTGCTAGACATTTGCCACTTCATCGTAGCGATTTAACGAGAGTAAAAAGATCAACGCATCCTTCAACATGGTCTGGTTCCAACTAGACGAATGAAATATCCTCTGTAAGAATCATGTAAAAAAATATCAACCAGATGATTATATTGGAAAACATACATCATCAAGTTCATATATACAAACCAACAATTTAAGTTTCTTACCTTTAGGGATCGCCGACACAATCGAATTGCAGTTTCTCCATAACTTCACGCGCAAATTCCATCTTTTAGGATGTTGAGTGATTGGTAAAGCTTCAAGTGCGCGATCAAAAGTACGTCGAGTCTTTGTGATTCGGCAAAGTGACAATAACTTATCCATATACAAGGCAAATTGAGCAATTATTATCATCAGATAAACGAAACAATATAATGATGACGACAATGTTTTACCTTATGTAACAGCACCAATTATCGTTCAAAGCAATTATTAACCTCGAGATATTCTTTTTCATATTGAACAGAATTCAACCCTTCAACGTGTATTAACCGCAAGTCTAGATATTTCTTTCATACTTTGTAAGAACTGGGTAGTTCTTTTAAAACACGTTCATATATTCCCAGACATGTAATTGACTTTCAATAGTGCATACAATCAAATCACGTGAACACAGTGTCAAAGCTTGAAGACGTGATAATTACCGAATATAAAGACGAACAGTGCTGAATCACGTGGTCTTTGACACCAAGAAGGGGAACACTAAAGCCGGGTAGTGCAATTCGGATCGAGTCAATCCAGATATGATCTGGGTTGATTTGATCCGGATTGGCAAGTAATGTCACATGCGAAAGAAAAAATTTGTTTATTGCAAAATGTAAACATATCGATAAACATTGTTAT